GAATCACTCTTAAACAGGATTTAGTAACATGAATGATATGGATACAGATTAAAATTATACACTGTAGGTAAATACTTTTTAAAGTTGACAAATTAACTTTTTAGATGCCTACCTTTAGGCATCTAAAAAAGGGTTTCCTAAGAAACCCTTTACCTAGTATCTTTTACCTACTTTATTTTAGGGATTATATATGGACTACAACTCCAGATGAGTAAATAACCTCTCTACCTTGATGGTACTGCGGAAGGGAAAAACAAGCAATAGTTGATGCTTCAAGTATTTGAAGCCTAGTTGAAATATTTGAAATATTTCCTACTGTACTGGTTTAGTTCTGATGAGGCGAAGTGGCAAAAATATGCCAGGGAATCACTTTTTTGTCAGCAAAATTTTGCTGATGAATATTATTAGGAAATAGTCTCATGTTGGTTTCCTTGGATGTATTTACACCTTCTCAGTCTCTCTCTAGATTCAACCTCTCTTTCCTTTCTCTTTATCTTTCTAGGTTATATTCTGGTTATCTCTTTGGTTTTATCTTCCAGTTTATCAATTCTGCCTTCATCTCTTTATCAATTTCTGGCTTAAACCATCAGAGATTTTTATTATATTTTTCTTTTAAAACCTTCTGTTCCATTTTTCTTCAACTTTGCTTGTCGCCTTCTTGTATTCTAAAGTGTCTCCTTTTTTTATATGAAATCCACATTTTGCTTTCTTTTGTTGTTTTTTTTTCTTTTGAGACAAGGTCTCACTCTGTCACCCATGCTGGAGCAGTGGTGCCATCATGGCTCACTGCATCCTTAGCCTCCCCAGGCACAGGTGATCCTCCCACCTCAGCCTCCCAAGTAGCTGGGACCACAGACACATGCCATCACACCTGGCTACTTTTTGCATTTTTTTGTATAGAGACAGGGTTTTGCCATATTGCCCAGGCTGGTCTCAAACTCCCGGGCTCAAGCGATCCTCTCAACTCAGCCTCCCAAAGTGCTAAGATCACAGGTGTGAGATACCATGCCCAGCCTACATTTTGCATTTCTTATATAATAGTGTTACTATCGAAAGTCTGCATGGAGTTATAGTTGCCTTTTCTTGTTTCTGCTCAAAGAGACTCTATCTTTCACTTGAAACTTTACCTTGCTAACCTAAGTTGAAGTGACTCCAGAGAGGATTTCCTTTCCCTCCGACAGTTTTAATGGGCATCATCCACACAGAATCACTTTAATTATGTGCTTAAGTGCTTTCAGACTGCACTACTAGCACAATTCAAATTATAATCCTGTAAAAGGCTCATCCTGCGATAAAAACTCTCAGAAAATTTTTTTTTTCCTTTTCCACCAGGATAGAACAAGACAAAGACAGGTAAGTTTCCATCCTGCCACCTTTGCACCTCACACTGCAGATGTGGTCCCACAGGCTTTAATCAAGGGGAAAGTCTAGCAAAGTATCTACCTAAAGTGAGGCCTGTTTCTCATCTCCCATCCTCAGGGCCCCATGGAATCATCAAAGCAGAAGCTCAACATATCCAGGACCTGGAATATAACTTTAGGGAAAAGCCCAGCTTTGGCATTCACTCACCTCTTTTTGTATCCTTACTTATACTTGACTATGTTCCATTTGGTTAAGATTACAGTTGACCTTTGAACAACACAGTTTGAATAGGAGGGGTCCACTTATATACAAATTTTTTTCAACTAAATGTGGATGGAAAATATATTATTCATGACCTATGAAACACATATATGGAGCACCAACTTTTTGTACATGCACATTCTACAGGGCAGCCGTGGACCTGTATGCTCTGGATTTTGGTATTGGGGTAAAGGGACTGGAACAAATCACCTGAGTATACTGAGGGACAATTATACTGCATAATTAACCTAATGGACCATTATGTAATAAACATAACTCCCAATTAACTCCCAATTATTTTTATATAAATGTCAGCCAGTATGTATAATTCTACATTCATGTTTATTACTCCATCCATAAACCGTTATGAGTCCCAATATGAACTCTTTTAAAAAACTTTAAATGTAAAATTTTGTGCTTTCATCCACTCACTTTTAACTATTCCCAAATGTATGTAAGAAATTTTAAAAAGTAATGTGAGGGAAAAATCAATCCATTAAATTTTTATTTATGGATACTACAAGTATACCACCATGTAGAAATTATCAGGCTGCTCTGGTCTTTGAAATGAATGTAAAGCACCTTCTTTTAACTGTCTCTTTTATTCTTTCAGTACAATATAAAATGTCTTCCAGAGATCTCCTCAATCAAAGCTGAATCACAATGCATGATTTCTTTTATATCATTCCAAACAACTGTAAGTTTGGAGTTTACACCACCAGTGTAAAGTACATCTGAGATACAGGGCTAGAAATGGTGGGCTAAATACAGGGAGCAATTATAGAATCAGGGTCAGAAAATCCAAAAGAAGTAAATGTAGAAACCAAAATATGGTCAACTGCAAGACACAGGTATTGAACCAGAGGTCAAATCTAAGAAAACCATAGGTCAAAAGCATCCTGTCCATATAAGAACCAATAGTAAAATAAGATAAATGAACATAGGCAACATCATTGTTTCAGAACTGACCTCAGGCAGTGTTTCTGAAACTTGAGCATCGGCCAGAATCACCTATAGGCTACTAACACAAAGAGACCTGGGCTCTGCTCCCAGAGGTTCTCATCCTGCAAGTCTTGGATAAAAACTGACAATTTGTATTTCTAACAAGCTAGCAGGTGATGCTTATTCTTCTGGCCCAGAAAGGAGAAGACTAATATGAAGACTGTGCTAGTTAGCCCTTTTTCTCTATCCAATTTCTTCTGCAGAGAAGCTTTCTAGCTTTGAAAGAGGTAATATCATTGTGACCTCTACTTAGCTGCTAGGAGTCAAGAAGGGATTAAGAGTTAGAATCCTTGAAATGCTACATGATCGATCATGGGGAAACTTCTGGAAACCTTTTGAATGGTGAACCTCATCAGGGTCTTTCATAATCTCTCCCAGGTCCAAGCCTAAAACAAATTTTTCAAGTACATTCTCTTAGCAGGGATCCTCTAACATTAAATATTTGCCTAACCAATTCTGGTTTCAAAATTTTCAGCAAAGTAAATATTACTTTTTCAACTGTTTCTTACTTAGTCATCATTTAGTAAATACTGCAAAATTTCTGCACTGATTGGCTATAACAACTGGCTGGCCTTACAAATATAATTGCCACAGGATATCCAAAGTATTAGAAATCATTTTCATCAAACAGCTATTCTCAATGTATCATTGATGTTTTCCTATTCACTTCAAAATTTTAAATTCTTACATTCATTAATTTTTATTACATAATGGGATACAAATCATAATAGAGTCTATAAATCTAGAGTCAATTTTAAATCTGTTTTTAAACTTAAGGGCAACAGGAATTCTGAAAAATCTCCAATGAAAGTGTATAATGACGCATCTACTTTAAAAAACTCATCACAGGGGAATAGATACACTGAAACAGAAGACCAGTTGCATCGGCCATGAATAAATTGTGATCTATTAACACAATAAAATCCTACTTATTGAACAATACTGTGCATGCCTCAGATTTGTGGAAGTTCTTTTCCCCACAGCCAAGAGGCATTTCCAGGTCAATTCATTGGCAGGCTGGCTCCAGAAACACAGTTGTAATATACTAATGCTATTCACAAAATATTAGCTTGATGAAGAGGAAGCAAGCTACTTTCCTTAGTAACTAGAATAGTTAGAAAAATAAGAATAACGAGAAAAATTAGTAGTCGTAGTAGTAATACTAACAATGAACAATGAATATTCATATGATGTAACAATGTTCATTACTTAGTAATGTTCTAATATTGTGCATAGTTGTAAGATGTTATTGTAATAGAAATGAACAATGAACATTCACCCAATGTTCCTTACTTAGTAGTAATGTTCTAATATTGTACAAAATTATAATATTATTGTAATAGAAATCAACAATAGATATTCATACAATGGACTACTACTCAGCAAAGAAAAGTAAATCAACTACTGATGATTTATTCAACAAATTGAATTCATTCAACAACATGAATGAATCTCAAAAACATTAGGTCGAGTAAAAGCAAACACAAAAGAATATATGCAGTGTGACGAATTTATATAAAGCCCAAAAACATGTACACGTAATCTGACTGGCAATCAGAAAGTGGTTGATTTTGGCACAGGGAGAATGGATCCAGAGTGAAGGGTCAGCAAGAAGCTTCTAGGAGTGATTAAAAATGTTCTATACCTTGTTTTGCACACTGCTTACATGGATATATAGGTCTGTCAAAAATGCATTTATTGAAGTTTAAATCTATGCATTTTACTGTATGTAAATTGCAACATAATTAAAACACGTGTTTTTAAACTTAACTGTAAGGAGAACAGTGATTTGCCAAGATAATGTTTCTTGAATTCAGTATAAAACATAATTTAGATAGAACAAATCCTTTGCTATTTAAAATTTCTATTACAGTGAAGAAATTAGCAGTCACAGATGTATGTTTATTAAATCAGGATTTTGAGCTATATTAGCTCAAAATATAGCACAGCATCATTGTTAACGGCACCTCCTTTACAATCAGAGGTGTCCTGATTTAAATGAAGACTTTTATGGTCACTTCAGCTAAAAGAAATCTTAGATATTATTTAGTAAAATTAGCTCATTTACTTTTCCTTTTCTGTTCAATCCGTATTTACTCAGCACCTACCATGTAGTTAAACATAGTAACTTTGTTGTTGCCACACTTCACAATGCCTCTTTGTTTCCATGATCAAAATATAAAATGGTACAAGAATTTTTCCCAAATGTAAAATTTACACCTGAGGACAAACTAAATACCAAAAAAAAAAAATTCAGGATTTACAAGGAAAATATAAATCAAGCATATGGGGGGAAAAAAGATATAAATTTTTGAGCTATAAAAAAACAAAGTATATAAAGATATTTACAAATATAAAATAAAGAAAACCTTTACCTGCTGCCCTGTAAAGTATTTTAGGTTCAAAAAATATACAAGGATTTTTATCCTCTATGCATGACAAAAGAAGTCCTTTGGCCTGGAAAGGGCTTCTGGGTATAACCACCTGCAAAAACAGATTTTTTAAAGACAATTTTAGTAAAATATATCCCAGTAAACTCACTTCTAAAAAGGGTTGATACTTGAATAACCAATTGTTACTAATTTAAAATAGATATTGGGTATTTATTTTTAGTCTCATTATCACTTATTAAGTTTATTATATAAAAATAAAAATGTCTTTTATTCAACAGATATTTATCAGATGCCTAACATGTTCTATTAACTCAGCATATATACTCTTCTCTTAAGAGCTAAACTTGCCTATATAAAAAGTAAAAGGTCTATGCAAAGATCATTCATCAAAGCAAAAAATGTAGTATTGTTAATATCTACCTCTGTTTATCTATAAAGAAATCTCTTCTACTAATAATCTCCTGCTACTTTCAAAGTACATACAACTCTCTTATCCAGTTTTAACATATTAAAATCTCCTTATTTCCCATGAAAAAAATATGGTCTTCATTCTACAAGTGAAAAATTAATCCACTGAGTTTTACGAACCAGGCACCATAGTGTCCAGTTACGGCAAAGCAAAAAGAAAACTGTGGCTAGTTCACATTTCCACTTCACAGGAAAGGGTCCCAGGAACTTCTTGAGAATGAAGGTGATGATGAGGAAAATGAAAATGACAGTAGGAAGTACATGGGTAAACTTGGCCAAGTACTCAGTGAATTAATTCATCTACTATACACAGCAACCCCACTAGGTAGCTATTATAATTTTCCACATTTTGGAAATAGACACTGAGGTTTAGAGAGAACAAGTAGCTTGTCTAAGGTCAGACTGCTTGCTTGACCTGAGATTCTCACCCAATTCCCACTGATAACAAAGCTCAAGCTCTTAACTTCTATATCATGTTGCCTCAAATCACAAACTTTGTCTAATTTTAAACGATTATAAAATAATTGTATAAAGACAAATCTTACATAGGAAGAGTTATGAAAATAAACTTGAATTTATCACAAAGATTCAAGATTTCCTGAGGCAAGCTATATTTGGCCTTCAAAGCCATTTTTATTGAAGGGTTTTATTTTTAAAATAAAAGAGAAAAAAAATAAAAATAAAAGAGCATCAAAAATGTCACTATTTAGCCGGGCGCGGTGGCCCAAGCCTGTAATCCCAGCACTTTGGGAGGCTGAGGCGGGTGGATCACGAGGTCAAGAGATCGAGACCGTCCTGGTCAACATAGTGAAACCCCATCTCTACTAAAAATACGAAAATTAGCTGGGCATGGTGGCACGTGCCTGTAATCCCAGCTACTCAGGAGGCTGAGGCAGGAGAATTGACTGAACCCAGGAGGCAGAGGTTGTGGTGAGCCGAGATCGCGCCATTGCACTCCAGCCTGGGAAACAAGAGCAAAACCCCGTCTCAAAAAAAAAAAAAAAAAAAGTCACTATTTTATTTTCTGTCAATGGACCTCTGAACACATTAATAACGGCGTCACACAATGTCTTTATCTTATATTCCTACTTTTTAGTTTCCCTTTATCTGCTTTCTTCATATTAGCCTTTTGTACTTTATATATATGTTCATTTTAGCTGGAAGAAAAAAAGAAAAAGAGGAATAAAGAAAATGAAGAAGAAAAAAGAAGGTAGGAACAGACAGAAAAGGACTGTTCCTAAAAGCAATTTAATATTATAAATATTAAATATGAATTAATGTTCCACTCAAACACAAAAATAACTTGCCTTGAACATGACTTCTTTCCCACTCTACAACTTCTAGCTCACATTCAAAAATCAGGCAACCTCTACTCAACTAAGATAAGCTTATAACTTTGATCTTGTAGAAAAAAACAAACAGGAAAACAAGAATGAAATATAGACAAATGTTCGCAACCAATTCCTGTGGCCAAAAAACAAATATACATCTCCGGATTCACACATCTGTGGGATTCTATAATGATCCCTGAAAAACTTATTCAGTAAATAGAAATAGAAAAGATGATAATACAAAAAATTAGGACACAAAATAATCAAAATATTTTTACCTAAGCTTTTGTGAAAGACAGGCTACTAAAAGGAGATGCTTCAAAAGTACTTGGTTGAGCAAGTATTATCTTATTTTAAACAGAAAAAAAAATCTAGGTAACAGTCTTCTCTCAGTCTTTATAACAAGTAAGAAACAGATGAAAAGCAGAAGTCATATCCCTCTGACTTTGAGGTAAACATAGAATAAACAAAAGATTTATTTAAATCACCCCATCATCAGTTAAGTGAGAAAGACTTAAGTTAGAAAGAAACATAAAGCTTTGAAAGAGAGGGGAGGTAAACCAACTATGTTCTTGGTCTTATTCTTTTAAGTCTATGAAGTTAGTTAATGCCAGAGTATAAAACCAGAGCTGTTTCAAAAAGAACTTTCTATAAAACTGGGCACTGGATAGCATACATGAAAGATACAGTTAAGTTCACATAAATTCCAAGAATCCTGTTTCTTTTCTTTCCTCTAAATAAGAATAGATATTAATAGAATGAACCAAAATGGAAACATCAAATAGAAAACAAATAAAGTACATAAATGAGGATACCTTGATTCCTGGACAATGGGCAAAAAATGCTTCAGGACTCTGAGAATGGTACAGAGCCCCATGGCCAACACAGCCCCAAGGGGACCGGATAGTGAGGCTTCCACAGTTAAAAAGATCCCCAGAGCGATAGCGATACTTGGCAGCTTCATTAACAATCTGAGGGGCAGAAAGACAGGGCATGGCATAATGAGTCCTTCCCTTCCAATCCGTCGTCTTTCGTTCTTTCTTTCTTTCTTTCTTTCTTTTTTTTTTTAAGACAGACAGGGTCTTGTTCTGTCACCCAGGGAGTACAGTGGTGCAATCAAAGCTCAACGTAGCCTTGGACTCCTGGGCTCAAGTTATCCTCCCGCCTCGGCCTCCAGAGTAAATAGGGTGACCAACAGGTATGTGCTACCATACCCGGCTAATTTTTGTAGTTTTTATAGATATCGGTTCTCGTTATCATTATGTTGCCCAGGCTGGTCTTGAATTCCTGACCTCAAGTGATCCTCCCACCCTGGCCTCCCAAAGTGCTGGGATTGCAAGTGTGAGCCACTTTTCCCAGGCCCAATCCATTTGCTTAAACTATTCTATAAGATCTTTACATATATGCTCATAACAAAATGATAATTTTAATACATTAGTAAAAGGGTAATAAAATGTTCCTGGAATGCGGGTGGGGTGGGTGGAAGTGTTGAGATAATACTTCAATACTTTGTGGACTGAACAATCTTAGAAATACTCATTCACTTACCTGATCAAATGCAGGGAAAATATAATCTGCAAACTGAATTTCTGCAATGGCAGTAGCTCCAGTGACTGCAATTCCAATTCCAAATCCAACAATTCCTTGTTCACACAATGGGGTATTAAAAACTCGATCTTTTCCTTAAAATAGAAAAGAAGAAAAAAGCTTATGTGGCAAATGAGAGTAACTTCATACATAATACATTTTAAAATACAGTAAACTAATAATGGGATGGAGAAGTATAGAACAGGTAGAGGAAATAGAAAATAAATAGTATGGCTGGCCACAGTGACTCGCTTCTGTAATCCTAGCATTTTGGGAGGCCAAGGCAAAGAGGATTACTTGAGATGAGGAGTTCAAGACCAACATGGTCAACACAGTGAAACCCTGTCTCTATTTTAAAAAATAGTATGGTGAATTATTTAAATGAAAGTACTTATTATATTAATTGTAAGTAATCTAATGTTTCAATGAAAATTAAAAACTGTCTTGCTAGTATAAAAGACAGAAAATCCCAATTAATTATTTGAAAGGAAGCACAAACTATAAAGACAAAGAAACGTTGTTTAAAAAAAAAAAAGAAGGAAAAAATATAAAATACAAAAACTAACCAAAAGAAAGTTGATGTCACTATATTAATAGCAGGCAAAGTAGGCTTTCAGGAAAAAAGCATACCGGAGATGAAGAAGGAAAATGCATACTATTAAGAATTCAATTCACAAGAAATAAACAATTCTAAACCTATACTTATCTAACAATGCAATGTTATCTAACCATGGAATGTCTAACAAATAAATAGAAAAAGTTAACACAACTAAAAGGAGAAATGGACAAATTCACCACATAGTGGGAAATGATGTTTTTTATGTACTAATCTTAATAACTGACAAAAAAGGCATACCAAAAAAACTGAGGGAGTGTGAAAAAATAGAGATGATTTAAACATGATCAGCAAACATGGCCTCACTGACATAAAAGGACACTGCACCCAAAAGCAAAGAATACAAATCCTTTTCAAGTAAACAGAAAACACTGACATTAATTGACCATATTCTGGACTACAAATCCAATGTCAACAAATTTTAAAGGATTTAAAATTACATATATTCTCTGACCACAGTATAATTAAATTAGGAATCAATAATAAAAAGATAATTAGAAAAATTATTATGCTAGAAATGTTTTTAAATATATGGCTAAATAACCCACAGCTCAAAGAAACTATGGTGGAAATTAGAAAGTGGTATTTCAAATTCAATAATAATGAAAAGACTATACATAACAGCTTATTGGTTCTGAAGGCAATATCAAAGATGCCTTTTTCAGACTATCCTTCCCACATTTAATGATTATAAACACTGGGCAAAATAAAACAAACAACTATTTAAAGGCATTAAAGGACCAAAAGTAGGCATAAACTGGAGTCTTGACTCTTGAAAGAAGTTAAGCCCAGTGGATGACCAAGACGTTCATAAGGCTTGTCCTGTGAAAGGACTCCCCAGTCTATGAGTTGGACAGCTAGAATTCAAACAGACTCAGTCTGGTTGATCTGAGGTGTCAGAAAATAGTCTGGGGCTACCAGTGGTTGAAAATGAGAGACTAAATCCCTAAAAGAAGGGCACACACGGCATGGGGGAGCCCCAAAATCTGTGTATAAACTGATCAAATCCTTGCCAACACTTGTGCCTGCAGGGTAATCCAAAAGCCCAGCAGCAAATAATCTCTGCCAGTTGAAAGAGCTGTGCCCATCAACAAGGAGGTAAATTTTGGAGTTTGAGACTCTTCAAATTAGAGAAACCCTTTAGATGATCCATTCAAACCACTAGGTACAATTATATTAGCGTATAATTCAATTCTCACTTGACATTTCACCACCTCTCAGCTAATGCAAGCATTTCATTAGAAATTCTAATTTCAGGGTTCCGGATGGACAAAGACAATAGCCACAGTCTGGCCACATAACCAAATGTTTTAGGAGAAACCTGGTATTCATATTTCATTTCCATAATCCAAGGATACCAGTTCTTTTTCCATATGTAGAATTCACTTTTAGCTTAATTATTCCCTTTGAATATGAACGAAACATGGGGCAGGTGCTGGGAAATGCCAACCAGACACATCCTGTAGTTTACCACCCTATAAGCAGCTGCAAAAACTGAAAGCGTGATTCATACTCATCATGATCTGTAACTATCTTCTGAAATTGTGACCTCTGTTCCTCATCAATTCCCTATTTGACTGTGAGCAGCTTGATAATTTTTGAAAATCTATGATTCCATTGAACCAACAACAACTCGGTGGTATAAAATGAATGTAAATTCCAGCTGTCTCCCATGGAATTCACAGCCCTGGAATAAATACCTGAACCACCTTAACCAAACTAGCAGCATTCTTATTGATTCCTTGCTACTTCAAGTTCATGGGATTCAGATATTTTTCATCTCGGTAAGAAATTACAGCCTTGGTGCCAATAGAAAGTAGAAAAAAAATGAGTTTCTCAGAACTTTCTTACTCCAAAACATGTTTTATTTGAGAAAATAGTTTAACAACTCTCTCTGACAAGTTTCCATGATGTAGCAACTTCAACACTAACTGTTAAAAATCTGTTTCTATTTTCTCCCAGATACTGATTGAGAGTAAGAACACAAATAAGATGCACATATTGATGACTTCCTCTATCTTATGGTGCAATTAATCCAATGTAAAGTTCCTGTAGTGCCCTGTAAGTATCCTAATAGATGAATGAATGCACACAGTGACTGTGCTATGAGCCAAGAGAGACCTGGGTTTAAGTGTTATATCCACAAATTACTAAACACTCTAAGGCTCCATTTCTTATATGCAACAGAAAAATTATAATACTGAAAAGACTAAAATAATTCATACATTTATTCAACAAATGTTTTTGAAGTACTTAATATTACACAGTTTCCTAACAGCAGCAAACAAAACGAAAACATTCACATCCTCATGAAGGATTCTAGTCAGAGGAAACAAAATAAATGAAAGAAGCATTTAGTTTGTTAAATAATAAAGCATGGAGTGGGGGGTGGGTGGGTAGAAACTAGCTGTGATTTTTAAATAAGGAGATTGGGAAGGCCCCACTGAGAGGTGGCAGTTAAGCAAAGAGCTGAAAGAAATGAGGATGAGTACCAGGCATATATCTAAGACAATAAACATTTTGGGCAGAGGGACCAGCAAGTACAAAAACCATGGGGTAAGAAAATGTCTAACACATCAGAGGGAAGGCAAGGAGTCCAGATTGCCTGGTCTAGAATGAAAGAAAGAGTGGTAGGAAATAAAGTCAGGGAGTTAAAGGATAGAATGGGGAGATGACAGAGATCAGACAGGGCCGGGGAGGACATGACATTGTAAACACTCTTAAATGTGAGAATGAGTCAGAAAGCAGGTGAGTCAGGAAAACAGGAAGTTCTTGAGTTCATGCCATTCTCTGAGCTGCATTTCAACAAGATGCCTCTGACTGGTATTTTGTAAATAGCCTGTCAATAGCAAGGGTGGACACCACAAGATTGATTATCAGATACTGCAATAATCCCAGTAAGAGATAATGATGCATAATAGCAGGGAAGGTGGAGACATGGTGTGGGACTCTGGATATATTCTAAAGATAGAGCTAAAAGGATCTGCTAATGAAATGGATGTGGAGTATGAGTCAGAGTAATACTAAGAATGATTCAAAGTCTTTTGGCCTGGGTAACCTGAAGGACAGAGTTCCCAGTAACTGAGAAAAGGAAAATGAAGAAGCATGTTGGGTGAGAGATCAGGAGCTCAGGTTTGGAGATGTTTACTTTGAGATGCCCTCAGATATTCAGGTAGAGCTATCGATTAGATTGTTGGATATAAGTTGGAAGTCTTAAGCATAAAGATAGCATTTAATAACAAGGGATCAGATAAGATTACCTAGAAAATTTAAATGGAGTGAAAAGAATAGATCTAAGATTGTATCCTAGATACTCCAAGGTTAACAAGACAAGCAGGTGAGATAATCACCCAAGCTGTAAAGGAAAACAAGCCAGGGTTTGGAGGAAAACCAGGATAATGTGCTGTCTCCAAAGAAAGTGTTTCCAAGAAAAGAGTGATTAACTTGTGTCTATACCGCTATTAGAAAGTGAGATGAGGGCTGAGGATTTTATCATTGGTGACCTTAACATGACTGTTTCTGCAAAGTAGGAGAGAGAAAAGAGAGAAAGAAAAAAAAAAAAAAAAAAAAAACTTGATTGCAGTGACTTCAAGTCAGAATAGGAGAACAGCGGCCGAGAAATTGAAGACCATGAGTAGTGACAATTATGTGGATAAACGTTGCTATAAAGGAGAAAAGACACCAAGCACACTATGGCTCACACCTGTAATCCCACCACTTTTGGAGGATCACTTGAGCCCAGGAGTTCGAGACCATATAGCAAAACCCCATCTCTACAAAAAATACAAAAAAAAAAAAAAAAAAAAAAAAAAAAATCCAGATGTGGTAGCACATGCCTATAGTCCCAGCTACTCAGGATGCTGAGGTGGGAGGATTACTTGAGCCCAGAAGGTCAAGGCTGCAGTAAGCTGAGATCACACCACAGTACTCCAACCTGGGCAACAGAGTAACATTCTGTCCCCTCTACACAAAAAAAAAAAAAAAAAAGAGAGAGAGAAGAGAGAAGAGAAAGGGAACAGTCACACTAGAGGGAAATATGGGGTCAAGAGAGATTTTTTTTTTTTTAATGCAGTCTCACTCTGTCACCCAGACTAGAGTGCAGTGGCTCAATCTCCACTCACTGCAACCTCCACCTCCTGGGTTCAAGCAATTCTCCTGCCTCAGCCCCCCGAGTAGCTGGGATTACATATGCCCACCACCACGCCTGGCTAATTTTTGTATTTTTAGTAGAGACAGGGTTTCACCATGTTGGCCGGGCTTATCTCAAACTGCTGACCTCAGGTGATCCACCCACCACAGCCTCTTAGAGTGCTGGGATTACAGGTGTGAGCCATGCCGGGCAAGAGATTTTTAAGATTGAAATAATGACAGCCAGCATATTTGCAGGCTGACGGGAATGATCAGTACAGAATATTGATTATTTTGAGAAAATTAATAAAATGGAGAAAAGGAATAATAACTGGAACCATGTCTTCGAAA